CGGCCGCGCTCCGACGCCGCCGCCAGCGAAGGCAGCGGCGCTCCCTCTCAGAGGAAGAGGGAGACGTGGTCGCCGACGACGCTCGTCGGCTCGGAGGCGACCGCGTTGACCAGCAGGTCCTCGATCGCGCCGTGCAGCAGCCCCATCGAGTTCTAGAACTCAGCTGCACCTCTGAAAACTTCAGACCAGCGTGCCGTCGCCGATGTTGAGGAAAGGGTCCTCCTCGGCGTCGTCGAGGCTGGTCGCCATGGGCCTAACCCTTCGCCCTGCAGGGGAGTGCGGGCATTCTGCCCCTTCTTGATGCTCCCCAGGCCTACCCCCTCGCCTGGCAGGGGCGGTGTCCTCTCCATCCGTCACGCTGTCATGAGGCCTAACCCCTCGCCTCGCAGAGGAGTCCGCCATGCGGGTCTCCACCGCATCCTCAGGCCTAACCCCTCGCCCTGCAAGGGTCCTCGGGCGCTCGGCCCCTTCATCGTGCTTCACAGGCCCACCCCCTCGCCCGGCAGGGGTTGTGACCTCGCCGTCCAGCACTTTGTTGTGAGGCCTAACCCCATCGCCTCGCAGGGGACTCCGCCGCGTGGAACGCCACCGCATCCTCAGGCCTACCCCCTCGCCCGGCAGGGGAAAGATCCGTCACGTTGGCCATCGCCTCCTCAGGCCTGCCCCCTCGCCTGGCAGGGGACATACGCACCGTAGTCTTGCCAGCAATCCTGCGCCGCGGTCGAGAGCTTGCTGCTGAGGGCGCTGTCGTCGCGGTAAACGAACTGCTCGCTGCCGCCACCTCCCATGGCTTGCGCAGGCGCACAGGAGTGGCGGAGGGCGCCCCCCAAGCACACGAGTGGCCTCATGAGCTGCTTCCTCAGCCTCAGACGGTGGGCACGATGGGGCGCTGGTCCTGGGCCCAACCTTAGACTGCCCATGTGCTGCAAGCCATCCGATGCGCCACTGAAGGAAAACTGCCCGGTCCACGTCCTGATCTTCCTCATCATCAGGTGCAGGTTTACGCGGAGGTGGTAGTTGAGGTCGGTCTGGGGCACGTTTTCCCAAAAGCCTCCTGAACATGTTCCGCACCTGCGCGAGTGCCTGCATGTGTTGAAGTTCCAGGCGCACTCGCTCTGCATGCGGTGCTTGCCACAGTCGATGAATGAAAGCATCACGCCTTGCGACGGTGTGCCGCCTTGCACTCGCGCAAAGTTCATCGACGATCTGCTGCAGCGTCCTACCAGGGAACCACCTGAAGAGGAGCTGCCGTAGGGGATTGTTGCCACCTTGATCGAACATCGCTGTTACGAAAGCAGTACACCACTCCAGCCACGGTCCACTGTTGCTCGCTAGACACGTGTAATCCTCGAACCATGACGCTGCCCAGTCTCTGAGGTCCGCTCGCATGTCCGCGTAGTCCTCGACGGCTCGGTCATCAACCAGCCCAGGAGGAGGAAGACCCATGCCCGTCGGTACGCCCTCGCCTGCCGCCATCTTGGTGGATATCCTTCGTCCAGCAGTGGCGACGGTGCCTGGACGCTGCTGCGCGGCAGCATCCAGGGCTTGCGTCCTAACAACAGAACGAGGCGACGTAGCCTGGGGATGCTAGGCCGCGGTAGCGACGATTGAGCCTGGGGTGTCCGACTAGCAGCACCCAGGACTTGCGTTCTAACGCCCTCCAGGCTCTCCATGATGCCGCTGTTGCCCAGCATGGTGTTCGCGTCCTCGAAATGGTGTTCCTTGCCGCTTCCTTGGCGCGGATTCTCTCATGCAACCTGGCCATGCGCTGCTCGAAGTCATAAGGGCCGTCAGGTGCAGGTCGAGCGACTCGAGCCACCACCTTCTCAGGCTGCTGATGCCGTTGATCTCGATGCTGCAGCGGCATGCTGGCGTCGATGTGCTTGGCCAGCTTCTTGTGCGGCCCTATGCCCTTCGGCAGGTTGCTGAGGACTTCAATCCCTTTGGTCGTCGGCCAGGTGCACTGCTCACGCAACTTGATCTTCCTTCTCTGCTGCGCCCAAGCTCCGCACTTGATGCACACGAACACTGTCGCTTTGCATGCCATGTCGCTGAGGTCGCCTTTCTGGTTCACTGCCACCAACCTGTGACCCAGCGTGTTAGCCATGTGTTCCTTGAGAAAAGACGGCGCCCCAGAGCACCCATTGAGCTGATCATGCCCAGGCTGCCGTAGGCGTAGACACCGCGTGCACTGCTGACCAAGGTCCGTACTCTGCCAGCCGTGCCAGTTGTCAGTCCTGATGCTCTTGATGCGCTTGTAGCCCGTGCTTATCCTCTGCCACCGCTCTTCTTCTTGGTCGAAAATGGGCATGATGTGCGCGATCAGCTTAGTGATGTCCTTACACATCTGCTGATGCTGGTCTAGTCGTTCACTAAATTCATGAGATATTGCCTCGTGCCGTCTAACTCCTTCTGCCGCATACTGATCAGCCACTACGCTGCCATCCGTTAAGCGCTTGGTCTCGGCATCAAGGTTGGCGTAGTCTTCTTCAGATATATGAGCCTTGACATGTCTTACTGCTTTCACGTGGGCGAGCCCAGGCAGGCTCTGGGCGAAGCCGAAGACGCCGCCGCACCGCTGCGTGACCTGCACCTGCTGCTGGGCCGACTTGTTGAACTGGTTGGCCGTCCCTTTGAAGTCCGCGTGCAGCGCGGTAGGTCGGTCAGCCGCCTGACACGAAAAGGCAAATGCGAGGTGCTCGGCCATGGCCGAAGTTTGCGGCAGGCTAGCTGGCACTGCCGCGTACATCACTCGCAGCGCATCCGAGCCTTGGGGGTTGAGCAGCACCGTCGCCCACCCTGCCCGCTGCAGCTCCAGTAGCACTGGTTTGGTGCACGATCCATCGATGGCGAACTCGATCTCTTCGGTATCTGACGGCACCGCATGCTGTACCATATCCTCAGGTCCTGCATCCACATCAAGACCGTCGATGGTGACCATGCAGGCTTGAGTGCCGGGGTCCATCCTCGGTAGCTCTTCATCATGAAATGTGAAGCATCCTGTCACAAGCCGCCCCCCCTCGCCATCATCACGTAGGCGTTGTATGACCTGCTCCTCAACTTCTGCATCAGCTCGAGCAGCGGCGACTTCAAGTAGCTGACAGTCCACCAGTCGGTGTAGTACCGTGTCGACTTCGCCGCACTTGCACTTGCCGTCAGTGATGTAGCCCCTGCTTCTTGCCCGCGAACGCGTCCAGATATCATCGCACGCGCAGCTCATGATACAGAACTTCTGGTGGGTGTTGAACTTCCTGCTGTTCATCCTGATGTAGGGGGCCACGAAATCGAAGGAGACTCGCAGCGAGGGGTCGTCATACCATTTTGCACCCAGCGCTAGCTCATGCTGTCGGTGAAGCCCCTGTGCCATCAGAGTCGCGAGCATGACGGGGGTGGTCTGGGTGATGTCCACGATGTCCCCGCGCTGATTCCTCCATTGGGCCCCATTGACGACTTCCCAGCCTGCCCTCTGGACGCACATAGCTGCTCGTTGTAGTGGTCCTCGTGTCTGACTCCACTGCGTAAGTATCCCTGGTACCGTAACCGCGCCGTCCCACCACTGAGTCAGCTCGTTGAAGTCAACGGTGGCGGCCTGGAGGCAATGGTTAGCGATCCAGCACATGCGGCACCACTGGAGGGCAGGAGCCAGCGCCTCGTGTACCGCTGGATCTCCAAGTAGGACAAGCTTTGCCGACGCTGAAACTCCCCCATGGTAGGGTTTCCGCTGGCTCTGACAGGTCTTGCGAAACTTCGCGAGCTCGTTGTCACTCATCTCATTTATCTCTACTCCAAATGTGAGCGCAGGCTTAGCCCCCGTCCTGTAGATTCGGGGTATACGCTCTGCCGCCTTCGTTGGGATCGCCTTCCGAAATTTACTGAGCTTGCGGAGCCTCTGCTGGTGACGGCGGGCTCTAGCTTTGCACGTCCCACGCGTGCCTCCTGCCCCGCGCCTCTTTCCCCCAGCGAAATCGGTGCCCAAGAAGGATACTGCTGGCTTGACCGGCTGCTGCTGAGCTTTGAGGCCCTCTGCGATCCGTTTGCTGATGTCATCCGAGCTGCTCACGATGGCGAACTTGTCGCTGATGGTCGCCTGCAGTTTGCACGCCACTTGCCGAAAGCCACGCCCTGCAAGATCGCCTTTTGGACCACCTCCTCTTTGGTGCCGCCCCCCACGCCGACGCCCGTGTCGTCGATGTAGGACGAGAAGGAGGTGCACTGGTGCAGCGCGATGCAGGCGTCGTACTCCTCAACAGCGTGCGCCATGATGACTATGTCGGCATATCCATCTCCTGCAGGGAGCCCATGTGGCGCATGCTGTGGCCGCAGACCATGGTGAGAACGTGCTCGAATGATCCGCGGACTTTGCCATTGGTTGAATATCAACTTAATGTGACCATCCTTCGCACCCAAACAGCATAGTTTGTCGCGGACCTGAGCCAGCTCGATCGTCTCGTAGTACTTGCTGTAGTCAGCAATGAGGGTCGCCGGGTGCCTGAACTTTGATACACGCGCTTCAGCCCTCGCCGACAGCTTCCAAGCACTGCCGATCGCCGACCTGCCCGATGCCGCTCCCCAGCATCGTCTTGCCACGTGGTCTTGAAGTTCATGAAATTCAGCTCGCCTCGCACGCTGCCATACTCGATAACTTGACGAGTAGAGGACGGTGAGGCGATGGCCACCTGCCGCTTTCGGTAGCATCGGCATGACCATCCACGTGAGCTGCTTGGGGCACAGTCCAATCCTTTCGCTGGCTTCCCACAGCGCGCTGAGGACCTCCAAGCCAGCGTCAGACAGGCGCTGGTAGTGCGACGGGTGTAAACCATCCAAGCTGCCAGACGTACGCGTTGAGGAGCTCGCTGATGCTCTCCTTATTGCCGACGCCGTCACTCTCGGGAGACTGCTTCTGTTAGGCACCCAAGCTGGTGGCGCTGTTGACGTCGATAGCCATAGTTGGATATGCACATTCTCAGCCTCTTCAACTATACGATGAGGATGAGATTGAAACTGGTCAGGTCGGCCGCGTACGATCGTGGGTGCCTGGACGTCCTGGTACTTCGTCACTCGGTGTAGCCGTCCAGCTCCATTCTCACTAGCTCCATCGCACCATTGCTTCCACCACTGAGAGCTGTCGCGGTCCGCTGCTTGCTTCGCCACGCCGATGTCCTCGGCCGCCTCCTCGATCATGTTGACGAGGTCCTGCGCTGATGTACTCGGTGCCGCTAGTGCCCGCCGAGCATGAGCCACTACTGCATACAGACGCTGACTGACACCTTGCCCAGCGTAGTCGGTGGCGACGAAGCCGCGAATCTCATCTTGCAGCTTGTTGCCATCGACCGCGGGCCGGTTGGACAGGAGCTTCGCTATCACTGAGAGCGCATCCTCATGCCACTTCCAGCCGTCAGCTACAGCCTGGACGCCTTCTGGGTCCGACCCTTCATACATGTAGGAGACCCACTTTGGTCGTAAGTAACCGCCGTATGAGCACGCCTGGATTGGGGTACCCGTGAGATGCCCAAGCCTGATAGCCGCCTGCGCAGCGAAACGAGCCCAAGCGAAGGACAGTAGTCGCCATGCCGATCCCACCGAGCCAGACAAGGCCATCTCCGCAGCACCCTCAGCGTACCTCCTCTCGAGCTCCCAGTCGTGCTCGTCCTGCAGCATGGGCCCCACCTGCTTGGTCACCTCGATCTTCCCCCCGCCCACGTAGGTGAGGTACATCATCCGCTTGCCCATCGTAGCAAGCTCCATGACCACTGGCCGATGTGGCTTCATTGCCCATTTCATGTCCACTTGCATGGCCTTGGCGAGCCGCATGGCCCCCGAGGTGAGAGCGAAATAGTCAATCACTGAGTTGGCCGTCGCCGTCCTGCATGTGATGGACTTAGGCACCAGCAGTGAAATCTGGGCATCAACCGTGAACGAGGACGCCTCGATCTCCGCCGCCGTCATGTTCCAGTCACCGCCTATGATGGGAGGGTACGTCTGCCAAGCCATCGCCAGCCCCACGTTCATGAGGATCTTGGCACTATTCAGGGACATTCCCTCGCCCGTGTGCAGGTAGATGTTGAATATGTTGATGGGTGGCCATCCAGCGGTACGATGCGGTACCAGCTCGCTGCCAAAGGATATCTGCTCGTTGACCGTGGATCTCCGTGCTGCGGGGCTCGTCGGAGGGCGAGTCGGCCCTCGTGGCCTTATGCCTTCACGCGCAAAGATCGCCAGGCCTGCCGCGGGGAGCTTACCTGCCGTAGGGGCGCCTGGCACCACCATGACGTTCCACTTGTTGCTGGCGCACCAGGAGCTCAGGGCCTCGCACTCCCAGTCGTGGTACCATATCTCCTGCGCGAGCACGATGAGGGACTTGGTGCAGCTTAGCCTCTTTTAAGCTTCTGCCCCCCTTGGTTCGCGTTGTAGGTCCCAACGAAGTGGGGCTCATTCGCCTCGCTCGGCACCGATGCCTCTGCCGAGTCGCTCCGCCGATCGCTCAGCCCTGTCACGGCTGGCACCCGTCGCCCCTCACGCGCCCTGCTAGGAGCCGCCCGTCTTGGCCGCCCCTCCGCTGTCGAGCTTGCGATGCTTCGTGTTCTGGATGTTGGCGACCATCTCGGCAAGCTGCTCGGGGCTGACGGACGCGTCTCCCTCGCTCTTGCCCTGGTACATGGCTCGGTGCAGCTCCTCGACGTCATCTTTATCCAACACAAAGGATGACTCACGTTTATCATGTCGACTTCCCTGCTCATCTGCATCAGGCCCCCCTCCTCCCCGATGCTCGCCGCCCCCGTTGTGAACGCCAGGCTCGCGAGCAGGAGGAGGCGCAGGAGACTTTGCCTGAGCAAGTTTGGCCGCCATGTTCTGCCTGCACAGCTCCCCCATCTTGGCGAACAGGGGGTTCGCCGAGAACGAGGTGTAGAACTGCAGCAGGTCAGGGTCCGACTTGAGCTGATGAAGCTCGGGGTCGAGCCGCAGTATGTCGGGAGGCGCCTCCATGCCAGCGTCTGCCGTGCCACTGAGCTTCGCCGCGTGCCCAGCGAGCTGCATCGTGAGGACCTGCTCCTCGCCGATCTTGCTCTCCAGGAAATCCTTCTTCTCGTCCAGCTCCTTCTGAACCTTCTCCAGCTTCTGCTGCAGGGACTGCAGGTCATGCTTCGCCGTGCTGATCTGCTTCTGGAGCCGTTGAAGCTTCTGCGTGCGCTGCTTGTGGGCCATAGCGGGCGTGCGCAGCGACTGGACCTGCAGCTTGGTCGCCTCCAGCTTCTTCTGAAGGTCGCGCACCAGCTCGTCCTCGCCATCGTCCTTGTACGTATTGATGGTCTGCTCGTACTCGGAGATATTCGCCTGCAGCTCCGTACGCTGCGCGACCGATGAAGACGCCGCCACGTTGTCTCCATCTTCGCCTTCATCAATCTCCATATCCGAGGGCTTGCCGTTGTACGTATTGAGTTTCTTGTTCTCTGCAAGGAGTTGCTTGAGCTGGTTCTGCATCTTGGCCATCTCCTTGGCATCGGGAGCCCAGGGCGCCAGGGTGGACCGCAGGCCAGTCCCTCCCACAGACTTCGAGGGTGACTTCGTTGCAGGTGCGCCGCTCGTGCCTGACTTCTTGGCTTTCTGCTCTGCCTTCCTTGCCTTCTGCACCACGTGGAAGAGGGCCGCCTTGCCGCAGCGGCAGACGATGCGGCACGCCCAGTTCGCACTCGTGCCGCAGCTGGGGCATCCCCACGTTGGTTCACGCGGCCCACGGAGAACCCGTGGCTGTCGTTCCTGAGGCTGCGGCACCATCGATCCCGAAGATGAGCCGTGGTGTTCGTCGATTCTCTCTGCCGCGCTCTGCAGCAGGGCCTGGAGGCGGGGCGTGGCCTTGCCCGCCCAGGCGTGCAGCAGGGCGCGATCCGCCGCTCGGCGGAGTCGCGCACGATGATGGCTGGCCGCCTCCCTAGGCGGCGTCGTGCCGTGCGCTGGTCTCGGCGCGCGCGGGGGGGGGCCCTCGCCTGCGCTGGCAGGCACCCAGGGGGGCACACCTCGCGAGCCGAAATTTAGGGAGGTGGGGTGGTAGGGCAGAGGAGGGAGGGTGGATGGCGACGGATGGGGGAGGAGAAGGGGGGGAAAGGGGGGGTTTTGGATTGGACACGTCGGGAGCAAGGCTGGGCCATCCAGCAACGAAGGATGGAGAGCCGACCCTGCACCGCTAAGCGGCACAGGGCGGCACTCCAAACAACATGCCAGGGGGGAAAGGGGGGGGGGGCAGGAGGAGAGCGGAGGAGAGGGGAGGGGCAGGGAAAGAGAGGGGGAGGACGAATCCTCCTCCTACGCCTCCCCTGTCCTCCCGATCCTGCTTCTGCTGCCCCTCCTCGTTCCCCTCCCGCCCTCCTTCTACTCCTCCTCAACCCCTCACGTCTCCCTTCTCCTTCTCGAACTTGCCGAGGTGGCATGGATGAACATGCTGGCTCCAATATTGAACGGCACCTGCTCCGCAGATGCCTCCATCGATGACAGCATCGAGACACAGACCCTCTGATCGTCTTCCCCCCGCCTCCTCCTCCTCCTCCTCCTTCTCCTCCTCCTCCTTCTCCTCCTCCTCCTCCTCCTCCTCCTCCTCCTCCTCCTCCTCCCCTCCTCTCTGCCATTGGTGCTGAATGTGAAGCGGAGCTTGTGTTTCGCACTCACCGATGCTGCACGTAGAAAAAGAAAGCAGCATAAACACACGTAACCTTTCGGAGCTCCCCGCGGATTTTTAGGATCGACGCTGGACCCCCCTCCCCGGCGCGCGGAGCGTACTCTAAGGGGGTCCAGCACAGATCCAGAACATCCGTGCGGAGCTCCGAGAGGAGGAGGAGGAGGAGGAGGAGGAGGAGGAGGAGGAGGAGGAGGAGGGTATGGCTATTCAGTAACTTTCTTGTTCGAGCGCAGCTGTGGGGAGAGCCATCGCAACGCCGCCGCCCGGGGTCCAGCACCGATCCAAAAAAAATCCGTACGGAGCTCCGACAGTCCATGAAACAACTCAAGCACAGCTGCGGGGAAAAAACCTTCGCGGGCACACAGAGGAAGAATGCTGCCGGGCACGCCCCCCGGTGTCTTCGGTCTGCTGCCGCCCCCGCGCAGAACTGACCTCTTGGAGGTGTGGCGCCCGCGCCGTCTGAGGGAGCTCGCACCGGCGCGCGTGGGGGGGGGGGGCGGGGCGCTGTCCGACTGGATGGCAACTTGGATGCTGACCTGACCAAGCTGCCTTGCTTCTGCCGCAGACGGTCTCCCCAGGTCTGGGGGGAAGGGGAGGATAAAGGGAAATTAGGACACACAAATAAATACACACAAATAAAATGTATCCCCATATTTTCCCATATTTTCTGGGTTTTTGTCTTCCCGCCCACTTCCCATATTTTCCCATATTTTCCTCGGAGTCGACGATTAATTGTGTCTGTGTGTTTTTTTCCCTCCTGAGGTCTGGGGGGAAGGGGAGGAGTGCGGAGCGCGAGCCTCCCTGCTCGACTCGCAGGATGCGGCAACTGCGGTGCGAGTCGTTGGGAGGCCAAAAGATGGGCACCAACACCAACACAGGGGGTCTGCCTCCACAAGGGGGAGATTGACTACCTACCAGACCACCCCAACCCAACCTGAAGACCCGAATTTGACCCGAATTTCGGGTTGGGGGGGGGTACGGATACCATGTGTTTTTTCAACGTTCCCCGACCCCCCCCCCCACTGGAAATGGAAGGCAAATTGACGGCTTCGGGTTGGGTTGGGGTGCTTTGGTTGGCGGTGAGAGATGATCCTAGATTTCGGTGCTGGTGGTACTGTTCCAGTCACCTTGGGAGCCAGAATATGACCACCAGCACCGAGATCGGGATCTTCCTCCCTCGGTGGAGAAACACCGCCGATGTTGGTGTGGGTGTCAATCTTAGGGAAACCAAAAGCGAGAGGTCGCCGGGAAGATGCGGAAAGCTGCGGGGACCCTCTCCCCACGCCCCCCGTCCTCCGCCGTCAGGCCCACAGGTGCAGTGACGAAGTAGTCCTGAGCGCGGGAGCTCCGGAGGTGGGCACCGCCCCCCCCCTTGAACGAAGGATTGCAAAGGATTGCAAACAAAAACCCTTGAACGAAGGATTGCAAAAAAAACCCTTCGGTTTTTTGGCAATCCTTCGTTTTTTGCAATCCTTCGGTTTTTTTTTTGCAATCCTTCGAGCCTGACGCGCGAGTTCTGCAGAAGACTGCTCCGCGTCTGCCTGCACCCACGAGTGCATCACAGCTCACAGCGCTCGCTGGCGCCACCCGGACGAGCACCTGGCAGCGTGCTTCGAGACCAACCCTCCTGCCGACTTTGGGCGATGCTGCCTGTGTCGGGAGGTCCATGGGCTTCCGATTCCAGCATCGCCTGCTGGATCAACGCAACAGGGACCCCCCGTGGGCTCCGACCCCTGGGAACTGACCTCCCGTCTGGCATCCGTCCCTGTCGCTTCCGCACCTCCCCCGCCGCTGACTGCTTCAACTCTGTGCTCCTCGGGTCGGGCGGAAGGGGGGGATAGCAAAGGGGGGGTCTGGGAATCAGCTCACGTAGCTGATTTTCCCGGCGCCTCCCGGCGCCCGGAGGCGCCCATGCATCGAGGAATGGGCCCTTCGGTGAGGCCGAAACCAGCTGCATGCAGCGAATTTCGTGACCCCCCCTTTCCCAATCCCCCCCTTTCGCCCGGCCCGAGCTCCTGGTCTCGTTGGGACGAGGAGGTTGATAACAAACTCACCCCGGCTCACGGCAAGTCTGGCTCGTCTGCCTCCGCCTGAGCGGATCTGACAACAGCGAACGGCCATCATACGCAGACGAGAAGACCCCGCCCACCAATCGGCACCAGACCACATCTACCACCCACTGCTTCAGAAGACTGCACCTGGACAGCACTGGAGGCCACTGCCCTCTCTGAAGCCTCCCGGGGGCACCGCGAGTGTGTCGGCTGCGAGCGAGGGGGACGTGAAAAGGAGAAGGCCTTCTCAGAAGGCGGCGGGACTTCTCAGAAGTCATCGCGCCTCCTGAGAAGTCTTCTGTCTTCGGGGAGGGCTCAGAAAACTTCTCAAAGGCCCAGGGACTGTCGAGCCTTCTGAGAAGGCCCGCCCCTTCTCATACCCCCCTCGCTCGCCGCCGAGTGGTCAAAGTTTTCTCGTTTCGACATTGGGCGGAGGGGGGGACAGGGGGGGGTCTGGCTCCGGACCTCTGCTTACTGCGACTGTTTGCAACAGCGTGTCCTGTGGGGGAGGGGCTCCTCCCTGCTCGAAACAGGCGCCAAAAACAGCCAAGAACTAACTACTCCACGGGGTGGGGGAGGGGGGGGGCGAGGGCCCGCGCCGACCGGCAAAACCATGAGTAAGAGAACGATCGCGTGAGCGAGGGGGGGGCTCGGCGACTGCCTCGATGACAACGGCGACCCACGGCGGCGCGGCATCTTTCGGGGGCGCGCAAACATGGTTTAACGGTCCATGGATGTGGCGCGGCCGGTGCCGCCTCGCTCGGCGGCGGAAATCTGCGATTTCCCATAGGAACGGGACCCGCCCGTCGCTAACCCACGCCCCCTTGATCCATGTTTGCGATCGCCTGAATCAAGGTCAACCCCCACTACCACCTGCCCGACTTGGTCGGGGGGGGGCAAAGCACCGTGCAGCGTTCGTGCCCCTTTTTGAGGCCCCAGTCCATCACCCAGACCTCCGACGTCGTGATGTTTTGTCACAGCGTCGACCCCCAGAGGTCTGGACCCCTTCTCTGGGTCCAGCTGTCGATTCTGAATCGTTGTTTGACGGTCCCGAGGCCGGGGAATGGCCCCCAGAGACCGAACATAGCGAAACGCCTCCCGTCGTATGTTTGTCAACACCACGAGGGGGTCTGGGTATCGCCCTCCCACTACGATTTGAGGAAACCAAGAGGTACCAATCAATACCGCTACTCCCCGGACCTCTCCCGGGGTGCGTTCTGACCAGAATCTCGATGCGAATCCAACGGTGGCGACGAGGGCAACTTCCGAGGAGGCCCCAAAATGGTGAAGACGGGCGACGGGTATAGGTGTGGGTACCGTATCCTCCTCTGAACCATGCCGTCGCTTTCGTTCCATGTTCGCGATCGCCTGCACGGCGACGCGGCATCTTGCCGCAAAATGCCGACGGACTCGGCATCCCCGGGTCGACCGGCTGCCTTCCCGCCGTGGTGCCGCCCTTTCCCCGTCGGCGCCCACGGCTCCGTGCTCGGGGGCGGGTCTTGGAGGATCGGGGAGGAGGAGGAGGAGCAGGAGGAGGAGGAGGGGGACGAGGAAAGGGGGGAGGAGGAGGAGGAAGAGGAGGAGGAGGAGGGAGGGGAGGAGGGGAGGAGGAGGAGGAGTAAGGAAGAGGGCGACGGAGAAAGGAGAGGGGTACGAGGGGAGAAGGAGGAGCGGAGGAAGAGGGAGGAGGAGAAGGAGGAGGGGACCGAATATGGGGGCAGGAGGAGAGAGGAGGGAGAGAAGGAGGAGGAGGAGGAGGAGAGAGGAGAGGAAGAGGGGACGAAATAATGGGGGCAGGATGAGGAGAGGAGGAGGAAGAGGGGAGGAGGAGGAGGAGGAAGAGGAAGGTAGAGAGGAGAGGAGGATGAGGAGGGATATGGAAGGAGGAGGAGAGAAGGAAGGAGGGGGAGAGGAGGAGGGGGACGAGGAAGGGGGGGGGGGACGGGAGGAGACGGAGAGGAGGAGGGGAGGAGGAGGAGGAGGGAGAGGGAGGGAGGTAGGAGGAGGAGGGGAGAGGGACGAATAATGGGGGCAGGAAAAGGAGGAGGAGGAGATGAGGGTGAGGAGGAAAGAGGAGGAGGAGGGAGGAGGAGGAGGAGGGTGAGGGGGAGGAGGACGAGGGGAGGGGGGAGGAGGAGGAGAGGAGGAGGAGGCGGAGGAGGAGGAGGAGGAGGAGGCAGGAGGAGGAGGAGAGTAGGAAGGAAGAAGGAGGAGGGAGGAGAGAAGGAGGAGGAGGAGGAGGAGGAGAGGAGGAGGAGGAGGGGGGCGGGGAAAGGGGGAGGAGGAGGAGGAAGGAGGGGAGGAGGAGGAGGGAGGAGGGAGAGGAGGAGGAGAGGAGGAGGATGGGACAGGAAAGGAATGAGGGGGACGAGGGAGAAGGAGGAGGAGGAGGAGGAGGAGGAGGAGGAAGGAGGAGGAGAGGGGACGAAAATTGGGACGGAGGAGGAGGAGGAGGAGGAAGAGGGGAGAGGAGGATGATGCGGAGGGGAGGAGGAGCAGGAGCAGGAGCAGGAGCAGGAGCAGGAGCGGGAGGGGGAGGAGGAGGAGGAGGAGGAGAAGGAGGAGGAGGCGGAGGAGGAGGAGGAAGAGAGGGAGGAGGAGGAGGAGGAGGAGGAGGAGGAGGAGGAGGAGGAGGAGGAGGAGGAGGAGGCAGAGGAGGAGGAGGAGGGGGAGGAGGAGGAGGAGGAGGAGACCCAGCGCCGAGCCAAGAAGTCCGCGCGGATCTCAGGAAAATGAGGTTTTTAGGCACTTGTTCCGTCCGTCCCCGGAGCCGATCCGCCCCCAGCACTGCCCCTGGCTTTCCCCGAGGGCCCCCTCTTCCCAGGCTGGGCAATTGAACGCTGGCATGGGTACGGCAGGTTCCCGCGGCGTCGGCGCGCGCACAGGTTTTTGACACCGCGTCTATCGCTCATCCTTGAATCGTTTGCGGCCCCGATCGTTCAAGGTTGAATTCGACCGGGTCCAGTGGCGTTACCGCGTCCTTAGGTGCTTCCGCGTCACAGAACTCAACCTCGAACACCTTCGCTGGCGTCGCCGGCGCGCCATCGCCGCACGAACCTGCCGCACAGAACTCATGGGCACGATGCCCAACAACACCTACACCTGTTGTCCAGAACCGACAGCGGCCCATGTGGGGCAGCTGGCCGTCTCTCACCAATGGACGGCGCCGGCGGCGACGCTGACAGCGAGTTCAGTCCAAAGCGAGCAGGAGCTGCTGTCGCTCTTTGCACCCATTTTTTCCGAACCGTCATGGCAGGGCTGAACCTGAACGGTGTTTTTCGTTTTCGTTTTGCTTTCGTTTTCCCTCGCGTTTTCTCTTCAATGCACCTTTACGGCAAAACGAAGTCGAAACGAAAACGGCCCACGAAAACGGTGTTATTCGTTTTCGTCTTGTCTTCGTTTTCCCTCGTGTTTTCTCTTCGATGCGCCGCCGCCGCCGCCTCGGGGAGGCCGCGAGGCTCGCGCCCTCTTCAAGGACTTCCGCCCGCATGATGCTACCGCTGGAGGAGGAGGAGGAGGAGGAGGAGGAGGAGGAGGAGGAGGAGGAGGAGAAGGAGGTTTGCGGCTTGCGGCTGCCGAGGCGCAGGTCTGTGACTAGCGCCGAGCAGTGAAGAGGGCCAGGGGAGAAGGCCTGGCGACAGGGGGCGCTACGCGCCCCGAAGACTGGCCTCCAGCGTTGTGGAGAATGAGCAGGAGGCCAACTCTGGTTCAATCAGAGTCCGAAGCAGGCTCCGACGGTGCCTGAGACAAAACCGTGCTCGCAGCATTCGCTCGGGCCTCGAGCGAGGCTGCCGAAGGTGGGCAAGGACGTGGTGCACGACGGGACGACGTCTCGACACGACCACCACAGTGTCTTTGCTCCATACTATCCTGGTTGGCCGAACACGCAGAGCCCTAGGTCCAGAAGCCTCGGAAGACGGGAAACAAACGGCACCAGGCTCCGAACCAGAAACAAGGGCGCCATCCCACGGACCCAAATCTTCGCCCGTCTTGGGGTGGCAACCTACCTCTGCGTGTCGCCAGTACATTCGGTGATTCTGAATCGTGCTGGCAACCTTGGCCTCCCCTTCGCACACTCTACTCAGCTTGCGGCATTTGCCGTCGGGGAGGATCCAGTATCCAGCACACCTCTGACAAATGATCACCCTACCGTGGCGGACGGGCCTGTGGCCCAGAGCAGCGATGGCGTTCAACCCAGCCCCCAACGCGGCTTCGGGCACGGAAGGAGAGGAGGGGTCCTGGCCCAGCGAGGGAGGAACAGGATCTGACACCGCGGGGCTG